GCGCACAACTCGCCCGTTAATTTTTCGGGGTGTAGATTTAGCTGCGAGTAGGCAATCAGGCAGCTCCTGGTCGCTTCAAGATAAATAAGAATTAATATGCTACTACTGCCACCTGTATTGCCAAAAATCCGCATTATACGACACCTTGTAAAGTTTAACAAACAGAGAGCCACCATAATTCCTTTGTCGATGAAGCTGCTTATGCCAAATTTATACCTGTCAGAAACATTAAGATTCATAAACCTTATGTACACTTTCAAATGCTGGGAAAATAAACAAAAAACAAACAAGCGACTAGGCAATTAAATAAAATAAAATAAATAAAGATGTTCTTGTGGAAACGTCTTGAACGAAACAATTGGAAGCTCGTCGAGGTACAGTCTAGCGATCACAGGCGTTTGTTCAATAGAAAGTTCTGCAGTTTAAATTATTTTACCGCGCGCACATTTTTGAATGCAAATTATCATTAGAGCGCTCTAACCTTTTACAGTGGTCTTCCTCGTTGCGGTCTCTACTGTGTACTAGCCTGCCTATTCACCTAATTGCTGCTCTTTAGTAGTGAATTCGATATTCTTATTCTCTTCTCCTCTGATCCTGCTTATTCTGTCAGCAGATTCATGGTTACTGTTGCAGCAAAATGTATGCTGTTAGTTTGGCAATGGGACTTTTCTTCTGGAATTTTGAGATATTTTTTTATTTCCTTAGAATTCGTGCTCAGAAACCTCTTCTGTGTTTTTCTAAATTCTCCCATTTTCGAACAACCATATATATACACGAAATATCGTCGTTTACGGCGACGATCCTTTATAACTACATATATCGTCGTCTAACAGTCTGAGACGACTCCCTAACTGAACCCACGCCTCTTAATGGTGCGGGGTCAAGCGGACCCGAGATGAGTGGGTCCGCACTCCTTCTGCCGCGACCTTGGCTAGGGCTCCGACTAGAGGTTTGCATCGGCGGTGGAGCCCCGCAAAGTCGCGGCTGTGGGATTCCTTGTGCCCACCGCACCTGAGGGTTGATGGGAGTTGTCATATCATAGGCAGCCGAGCAAGCCGAGGACAACTGCTACACTACACAACGGAGCGTATATAACGAGCGAGCTGGCAACAAGGACGACTACCTCCGCTACCGCACGAACGACTTCCCTCACAGCCCCGCCGCCTCGACGTAGGCTGAAGGCCTTCTCCACCAGTTGTGTCTTTCCCCCTATCATATTCCCTTTAATGTAATAATGATAAATAATGAATATAATCTGTTCGAGTTTA